TAAGAAAAAGAAATAAAAGGCATCCAAATTGGAAAGGAAAAAGTAAAACTGTCACTAATTGCAGATGACATGATATTACATATAGAAAACCCAATAACTCCACCCCCCCCCAAAAAAAAAACCTGTTAGAAGAAATGAATTCAGTAAAGTTGCAGGATACAAAATCACTATATAAAAATCAAGTGTACTTCTATACATTAATAATGAACTATCACAAAGGGAAATTAAGAAAACAATTCCATTTACAATTGCATCAAAAAGAATAAAATAGTTAGAAATAAATTTAATGAAAAACCTGTATACTGAAAACTATAAAACACTGATGAAAGAAATTGAAAATGATATAAGTAAATGGAAAGATATTCTGCACTCATTGATTGGAAGAATACTGTTTAAATGTCCATAATATGCAAAGCAATCTACAGATTCAATACAATCCCTGTCAAATTTCCAATGGCATTTTTCACAGAAATAAAGCAAACAATGCTATAATTTGCATGGAACTATAAAAGACCCCAAATAGCCAAAGCAATCTTGAGAAAGAAGAATAAAGCTAGAGACATTATGCTCCATGGTTGCTAACTATATTACAAAGCTATAGTAATTAAAACAGTAAGATATTGGCATAGAAATAGACACACTGAGGGGCATCTAGGTGGCTCAGCTAGTTAGGCATCCAACTCTTGATTTTGGTTCAGGTATCTCATGATCTCAGGGATGTGAGATCTAGCACAGCATTGGGCTCCATACTCAGTTGGGAGTCTGCCTGAGATTCTCTCTCTCCCTCTGCTCCTCCCCCCTCTATAATAAATAAATAAATCTTTAAAAAAAATAAACAAAATGGACACATTGATCAATGGAACAGAATAGAGAGCCCAAAAATAAATCCATGCATATATGGTCAATTAATTTACAACAAAGGAGCCAAGAATATACAATGGGAAAGGACAGTCTCTTCAATAAATAGTGCTACAAAAACTTGACAGCCACATGTAAAAGAATGAAACTGGACTACTGTCTTACACCACACACAAATGAACTCAAAATGGATTAAAGACTTGAATGTAAGCTTGAAACCATAAAATTCCTAGGGAAAAACATAGGTGGTAGGCTCCTTGACATTGATCTTGGTGATGATTCCTTGGATCTGACTCTAAAAATAAGCAAGTGGGACTACATCAAACTAAAAAGCTTCTTCAGAGCAAAGGAAATTTTCAACAAAATGAAAAGTCAACCTACCTGATGAGAGAAACTATGTGTAAATCATATATCTAATAATGGGTTAATATCCAAAATACATAAACAACTCATACAACTCAACAGCAAAATACTAAACAACCCAATTAAAAAATGGGCAGGGGATGTAAACAGACTTTTTTTTTTTAATTGAGAGAGAGTGTGCGCAAGTGAGAGAGCACAAGCAGGGGAAGCAGCAGAGGGAGGGGGAGAAGCAAACTCCGTGCTGAGCAGGGAGCCCGATGTGGGGCTCGATCCCAGGACCCTGAAATCATGACCTGAGCAAAAGCAGACTCTTAACCGACTGAGCCACCTAGGAGCCCCTAGACATTTTTCCAATGAAGACATAAAGATGGCCAACAGACACATGAAAAGATCCTCAACATCACTAATAATCAGAGAAATGTAAATCAAAATCACAATGAGATATCATCTCACCCCAATCAGAATGGCTAGTATTAAAAAAACAAAAAACAAGAAATAACAAGTGTTAGCGAGGATGTGGAGAAAAGAAAACCCTGTTTTCTGTTGATGAGAATGCAAATGCATCCAGCTGCTTGGAAAAGTATGGAGGTTCCTCACTATGGAGGTTCCTCAAAAAATTAAAAATAGAATTACCTATGATCCAGCAATTCCACTTCTGGGTATTTATCTGAAGAAAACAAAAACACTAAATCAAAAAAGATATATGCATCCCCATGTTGAAGTCCTAACTGCCAATACCTCAGAATAAGACAGTATTTGGAGACAAGATCTTTAAAGTGGCAATTAAGGTTAAATGAGGTCATTAGCAAGGCCCTAATCTAAAATGACTGTGTTCTTTTAAGAAGAGATTGGGATACAGAAGCTAGAGGGTAAAGGATGTGAAGCTACTGGGAGGAGAGAGCCATCTAAAGGCCCCAGAAGGTCTAAAAACAAACCTGTGGACACCTTGATCTCAGAGTTTGTCTCCAGAATTGTGAAAAAATAAATTTCTGTTGTTGAAGCCACCCAATCTGTGGCATTTTGTTAGGACAGCCTTTGCAAAGTAATACAGATGGTTAGAGATTCTAAATGAAATCTAACTTGGCAAAACTCTCCACTGTGATTTGGTATTTAAACTTTGTTATTGAATAGTATCTTCCGTTCATTAGTGAGATGGAATAAGATGAAGAAAAAGAAAGGGTGAGAGGTGAGCCTCAGAAACTTTAGTTCTTTCAAGTTAAAATTTATTTCCTATAAACTTGTCATTCCGACGCTAACCATAACAGCAATTTTTGCTCTTACTAATTAAATTATTTCCCCCAGAACAGTATGTAGGGATTTCATGAAGATTGTGTAGATCTCTACTGTGGCACTTTATTCACCAGGCCTCTTGATACCATTTTTCCTGACAGCAACTGCGGCGACATACCTTCCCAAATGGTCCACTACTAAGTAAAAACGTCGCCTCAAACCTCCCTTTTGCTTCATATGAGAGGACAAGGGAAAATAGGAAATAAATGTAATGGCAGTTAATAAGCATATGTCTAGGACTAAAAGTATTCCTAAACATTTTTAATTCCATTTTACAAGGGGTAGCTCTATTATTTCTTTAATTAAACCCTCGAAGATACAGCAGGGAGGTTAAGACCCAGGCGCCCACGTTCAAGAGTCAGCGGAGCCCAGCTGCGGCCAGATAGGGAAAAACAACACTGGGTCAGTCTGCAACGCGGGCAATGATCAGCAACACACGTGAATGGGTCTCCCGTATGCTCCTCCGGCTAATGTCCTTTGCTTTTTCTAAACTTGTGTTTACAGAATCTTTCGGCGAGGCTTTCAGTAATGAGTGTAAATACTAAGAGATCAGACCAGAAAAAAAAAAAAAAAACTTTTTTAAATGACTGCAGATCACCGACACCTGAGCTTCAGGAACAGCAATTCCAGCGGAAGACATAAGTCCCGAATAGTTCATTAACAGACAAAAAATCAGCTAGTTCCATATATATTAACCTACCTAAAGGTTCAGAAGCGGAGAACTATATAATTTGGTGTTTCGGTAACTATGGCAACCTCAAAAGTTAACTACCCTAAAGTAACCAGGAAACAAAACTTCACCTTCCCAGTCGGCCGGACACCACGAGCATCAGGATTCCCTAGTATCGCGAGAACTTTCTGCCTCCCCTGTAGGCGCGTGCGTCAGAATCAAAGGGCTGATGAGCCGCCCCGTCCCCAGGATGGGCGGGGGAGGTGGAGCAAACTCTGAGAGGTGGGAGGGGCCACCGGGAAGGGGTGGAACCGTGGAGGGGCCGTGAAGGGCAGAGCGAAGGAAAAATCGCGTGGGCCCCGCCCCTCGCGGCCCTTCCCCGGAATAGCGTCACCAGCCCTATAAGAGAGCGTGCGCCGAGGGACGCGGCCTTTTACATCCGGGAAGTGTCGGGTTTAGGCTCTGAGGTTAAGGTACGGTGTCGCGTTTTGTGCACTAAGGTGGTAATTGGGGCAGAACTTTTTGGCTTAGTTAAAATGCAGGAGTTTCAAGAGACTTGTAGTGGTAGGTCCACGTCCGCTTTGAAAACCTCTTGGTTCGAAAACCTGAGGGGCCTTAGGTGTTTATGAGGTCACGAGGCGGCCACGTGCAGCCCTGGGTGGCGAGCCTGAAGCCGAGCGCGCACGGGTCGTGGCCCTCCGGCAAAGGTTCGGTGCACATGACGACTCCGGCAAAGGTCGCGAAACCTGCTGTCGGTGTCAAGTAGCCATCTTGAATCTACTCCGCCACTGTTAAATAGTAACACCGCATCCTGATACTCCCCCATTTAGATCCAGAAGGTGAGTAGTATCTGTAGTTGTGCATGCTCATCTGTTCTGGGATTGTGAATCTCCATGTATCTTTGGGACCTGTCAGCTGTGGCAGTCTCCCTTCCTAGCCATGGAAGAGCATATTCTTGTTTATTGGCAAAGCTGTCACCATTTAATTGGTATCAGATTCTGACTTGCACAAGTAACATTCTTCACTTTTGAAAACCTGGAGGGTGCTGGGTTATTGGGCACACATTTAACTATCGTTCAAATGTTTCCAGGAGGCTGAACTGTTGCGATGGATGATAGGAAACATGACATGGTAGGTTCCTCTTTGTTCATATTTCGTAGTTAGTGAAACCCTTAGTAGTACTGAAACCCTGCGTGCTAAGGAACTGGAAGGCCAGAATTGGCCCCTTCTTGCTGTTACTTTGTAATTTGAAAGAGGTTAATAGCTAAATAGAAAGTAACAAATAGTTGGCTAAGATCTCAACACTGATGTAAGTACACAGATCAGAGTTTTATAAAGGTGGTTTTCTTCTCTTGCAGATAATCAAGAAATTAAGGTGATATGGGTGAAGTCCTGTTTGTTTAGAATCCTGTGGTGCACTGCCAAAAGGGGATCTTAAATCTCAACAGCTTGGGTATTGAGTGGCAAATAATGTTCTGGAAACTTATCAGCGTGGTGTTTTCAATATAGGTCTGAATGTTTTTGCCTAACTATGGCGTTTAAGTAGAGAATAAGTGAGCACTTCCTTGCTTGCTGTAATTAAATAAAATGCTTGATTCATCTGGAGAGTCCGTGTTCTCTGACTAAAAAGGAAGTGGAAAGGTATTTGTTACGACAAATAAGTAACAGACTACTGCTTCTGGTAAGAGCTGGTATGGAAGTAGTATCAATGATTATTGGTGTAAGGTACTACAGTATTTGGAGGGAAACAGCATTAAAGGCGGGTACCCCTAAGGGACAGCACAGTCATTTTATACCACACAAAAGATTAAGGCTACTATACAGGATGAACAACTATGTACTTTATTCACACAAATGTGCACTGAACACTTGTGTCATTTAAAATTCACACTTAACGCTTAACAAGAAAAGAGCTATAATAAAGACATACTATGAACCAAGTATTCTATTCAAGTTTGAGCAAACTGTATAGGCTGCCTGTTAGCTATCTGTTTTAAAGTGTCCCAAACTCTGGTCTATTAAAATTTCAATATAAATGTTTGCATCTGCACTATAGTCTAATTAGAAAGGTGGCCTGTGCGAAGTTTCAGTAGAGAGAAATTTCTCTTCTGTATTGCACGTTTTTTTCAAGCCCTTGTGCAGGTGTGCACTGTGTAGCTCTGTCATCTCTGTAGATGTAAATGCTTGAAAAGTTTTTCCTTTATCAAAAACCTTGAGCTTTTAGAAAAGTTTTAATGTTATGAGTGATACAGCATTGCAATTTTGTAAAGTAGTAAACTATAAAGCACCTTTATGTTAGCACCAGTTTTTTACAAAGCGCAGGATTTACAAAAAGGACGCAAGTAGATGGAGTAGGGAAAGTAGGGAAGTCCCCTTCATGTGGATTTAGCCTTTGAAGAGGCTTAACTGATCCTAAAGTTCACACTGACCTCTTCACCTGTCTTTATGCATCTATTTCTTGGATATACAAAAACTATTTAAACCACCTAAGGCCTGAGGGGCATGCCTTTTATGTTTGGGCAAAGATTTTGCATTGCTATCAGGAATGTCCTGAAAGAGTCCATAGTAAGCAGCTGTCCCTTATTGGGTTGGGAAAATAGCCAAAGGGCATAAATGACTAGACAGCAGTAGAGGGGGAAAATAACATTGTCAGTACTGGGGCACCTATTCTGAAGTTCAGATCCCACTGGCTTACCTTGGCCTCTGAGTCTGTTTGACAATTTGAAAGCTAGGGATACTGTAAAATTTTACCAGCCTTTTGTAAATTGTTAGGCACATAGCCACTTAATGCAGTGCCTAGCACATAGCTGGAGTATGAATTAAATCGGTTGGAACAAATAAGATATTTTAGAGCTTTTTTTTTCCCCCCACTACGTAAGCAGAGAAAGCATTTTTAATAATGTCTTTTATTAGCTGGGACAGGATAGTGAAAATCTACATGTTTTAGTCATTATAAGAAAGTTGCAATAGATGGCACTCTTAAGTCATGGTAGAGCAAATGGCATGATGCCAAGGAAAAATTTTATCAAGCCGAAAGTAACTGCTAGAGAATGTTAATAAGGTGGATAAATTAGGTTGTATAACCCAAGAACTTGAAGGCATTCTTTACTATCAGGTATTCCAAATTTCGCTAGGTAACTAGAATGTGTTGCTATAGTGCATGGTACAAAGGCTTTATTCAGGAATGTATTGTGACTGAACTTATTCCAGTCTAGGTTTATAATGGATTCCTTAACCTTTTGGGGCCTTGAGTTCCTCACTTGTCAAAGGCTACAGAGAGTCTGTGGAAATTTCTCAGCCTTTTGAAGAAAATGTGACCTTAATTACACAATACCACTTAAGTGTAATAAAGAGTATTGATTCAATTATAGACTCTTAATCCAAAAGAATAAAAACAGGCTTATTGCACAGTTGATAATACAGTAATCTCTGGAGAATGCTGAGAATAAACAATGCTAATCAAGAATAATTAGTACCACACTGAGGTATCTAACAAAGAATGTTCACATCACAAATTTCTCAAGCAGCAATGGTGTACATGATTTAATCACAACACAAAAGCAGGAACATGGCTCTCATCCCCATCAGTTGGCATCTCTGGCTGAGTGCTAATGTAGAGGTTGAAAATTTTCCAACATATTTTCGCTTCAGGTTTCCATGAAGAATTACAATTTGGTGACACTTTTTATCCAAGGTACAAAGGCTGAGACTTTGGTATAGACACCAGGTGAATCCTTGGCTCCACAGCCATGCCCCCAGGAAGTTATCCCATATACAACCCAACTCTCTCCTGCCCGAACACACATGAGTGGCCCTCCGCTGTCTCCCTGGCAGCTGTCAACACGTTTGTGTTCATGTAGATTCCCAGCACAGAGCATTCTTCCTGTAAACCGACCCTTATAACGTTCTTCACAAAACCTCTTGGGAAGTAGGGGGATGGCTGCTTGTTGTAGAGTTCTTGAATAGGCTCGTCCTAGTTGGACCAAATAATCTGAATTAGATGCCAGCTAAAGACCTTACGGAAAACGTTTAACAGTTAAATGAACATAGAATCTTGAAAATAAAAGCCATATTGTGATCTAGTGTAGTTTAAATGAGTGATAAATGGTATAGAAGGACATAAAGTGGCAAGAACTACTCTAAATAGAAGCATGGCATTTCACAAGAATGGAGCAAAACATTACTATATACCAAACAGGCCTAAGTTTGAGCATTTGAGGTTTGTGTACTCTATACTGGCAAGCCACTCACTGATCAGTGGCTAAAATGTATAATTGATAATCTCCACGAGCCTTTTCTTGGATCTAAATTCCATTGTTTTTCTTGCACCCTATTTACTCATTTGGAATAACTCCTAATAAAACTGTGTAAAGTTGAGTTTGTCATTTCTGTTAACTTAATTTCTGTCTAAAGGAAGGTAAATGAACCTTCCCTCATGAGTTGTAATGGATATAGTTAAGCCTTCTCAGAGACGCTATTTGCCTCATAGATCCACATAGTGTACAGAGAAGGCATTTACTCTGATCTGATTATTGTATCATCCAGAAAATGTTTTCTTGGTGGTTTATCTCAGGATTGGTCCGTTATATGCCTTTTCAGTAAATCTATAGCAGATATTTTGTCTTTATGCAGCTATGAAATGATGCAAGTATAAAGCCTATATTTTGTGCAGTGTGTGATGAACACAAACATTTACTAAATAAAACATTGTAATTATCACATGTAGAAATACTTATTTGATGTTCTTTTCAAGAGTACAATGATCAGTGTTGATCATTTTTAATGGAGAGCAGTCACCCTCACTTCTTATTCAATAGCCATTTGTGAATCAAGCACCCAGTCTAGGTGAGACCTACATCTTTTTCAAGAACCATCCTGAACAAGCACTAGCTGATGTACACTGATTTAATTCTATAACTAGGCAATCCAGAAAATTGTTTGCCTGAGAAGGCTGTAAGATGAACATCTTGCTCTAGCTTGGGAGTTGGGAGGGTGGGATGAACAGGAAAAAGTGGGTTGGATCTCCACTTCATAGTGGCTCTCTTTTGTCTGTTCTATATTTAGGGATTCTCCATAAAATTGAGTTTGATAGTGGCCTTCATTACAGAGAAAGCAAGGCCATCAAACACCAAGGCCCTTTGCTGGTGTAGTTAAATCAGAGTCCTCCGGGAAAGCTTTTAAAAATATAGCCACTCTGACAAAAGTCTTTAAAAGGGCGGTTGGGACACCTGGGTGGCTCAGTCAGTTAAGCTTCTGCCCTCGGCTCAGGTCATGATCCCGGGGTCCTGGGATCAAGCCCACATCAGGCTCCTGCTTCTCCCTTTGTCTGCTCTGTCTGCTGCTCCCCGTGCTTGTGCTTTTTCTCTGACAAAAATCTTTAAAAAAATTTTTTTTAAATATAGCCAGCCAGGCCCAAGTGTTGGAGTAGGGTCTTAAAAATGAAAAATCGTTCCTCTGTCTCCTTACTAGTCTGTGGAACTGAAAGTACAGGATTCTCTACCCCATAAGGCAATTGAGTTCTGTCAATTTGTGCTAATAACTGTAACCAACAGTACCCTCAGGATATGAATCCAAATTACATGCATGCATCACACACTTGGCAGAATTTCCAAACAACTAAGCCTGAACCCATTTAAGATTTTCATTCCCATTGTACACCCAAAAGTATTGATAATCCCAGACACAAGAACGTGCCCAGGTCTCACCTGTCCTTTGTATTATCTACATTACCTGTGTCTCCCCATCCTGTTATGTAACAATTGGAGGCGGTTTTCTGTGGCCTCTCTCTACGGAGTGGCAAACAGGCCGGCAAAACGTGGCTGCTAAATCTAACACACTGTTCTTCTGGTCCTTCTAATCGAACCAGGGCGATGTCATAGTCACTGCTGTCAGGTCGATATTCCCGATGAATCACAATCTGCTGAACTCCAATTTCTTCTTCAAATTCTTCTGGCACCAAAGTATGATAATCCCCAACCCGAACAGCATAGTTCCTTGTGCTGTTACCATACCTGAGAGGCAGAGAGCTAGTAAGCTGTTGGAAACAGAACTGTCAGCAGGGAAGGTAAATAGAGATACTGCAAGCCTTTCTTCCTAATCATTATCCCTTTCTGTAAGTTTACCTTTTCCTATTCTCTGACCCCACCACTCTCGGTTGTTTACTCTAAACCCATTTCATCATTTCACTGCTTAATCCAGATTCCTGTGTAACTGTTTTCTGAGGAGCAAATGTGGAGCACAGGAGGAAAATAACAGCTAATCATTAACCTGTTTTTCCCATAATGACAAAAGATCAAAACAGGAACAAAGAGTATAGAGCAAAATTACTGTCTTGTATTTGCTGTCTTCGTTTTTCTATCATTTCCAAGATGTTAGTTCATCACGAAGCTCATTTAGGGCAGAAGTCAAGCACAACCCACTTTACCCCTTTCCTGTGAAGTGAATGCAAACCAAAACTATATTTGCAGGGCAACACACATTCATTATATTCTCTCATCTCTTAAATCTGTCCAGACATCATCCCAGTGAGACCTGATTTAAAACTGCAGTCTACCCTTTGTCCTTCATTCCCCAGCACTCCCAATATCCTTAATCTCTCTTCTATAACACCACTTTCTAACAGACCATCTACATTTATAGTTCTCTGTCTCTGCTTAAACAAGAGGCATCCAAGGACAGGGATCTTTTTTTTTTTAATTGCTAATGTATTCTTAGAGGATTTAGATAATTATCAAAATGCATAAAGAAAACTTTTAAGACCCAGGTATTAAGAATAAAGATTTTCATGGATTTTTTTTTAATTTTATTATGTTATGTTAGTCACCATACATTACATCATTAGTTTTTGAGGTAGTGTTCCATGATTATTGTTTGCATTATAACATCCAGTGCTCCATTCAGTACATGCCCTCTTTATACCCATCACCGGGCTAACCCATCCCGCCCCCAGAACCCTCAGTTTGTTTCTCAGAGTCCATAGTGTCTCATGGTTCGTCTCCCCTTCCGATTTCCCTCCTTCATTTTTCTGTTCCTACTATCTTCTTTTTATTTTATTTTTTTTAACATATAATGTATTATTTGTTTCAGAGGTACAAGTCTGTGATTCAACAGTCTTAAACAGTTCACAGCGCTCACCATAGCACATACCCTCCCCAATGTCTATCACCCAGCCACCCCATCCCTCCCACCCTCCACCACTCCAGCAACCCTCAGTTTGTTTCCTGAGATTACGATGTGGATGGAACTAGAGGGTATTACGCTAAGCAAAGTAAGTCAATCAGAGAAAGACATGTTATGATCTCACTGATATGAGGAATTCTTAATCTCAGGACAGGGATCTTTATGTTCACTGATGAATCTTAAAAACCTGTAACAGTGATGCCCTGTTAAATAGAAATGCAGCCTGTTTGTTGATTGAGTGAATGAATGGATATTTTTAATGTGTCTTTTTCCCTTATTCAATTTAAGTAGAAACAATATTTACTGGATTGATAGTTCTCAGCTTGTTTTTTCAACCAACATACCGTGATTGTGGTGCATCCGCCTAAAGCAGTTTCCCAACCTCGGCACTGTTGACATATGGAACCAGATAAATCTTTGTTGTAAGAGAGAAGCTGTTCTGTGCATTGTAGGATGTTTAGAAGCATCCTTGGCCTCTCTTCACAAGGTGGCCAGTAAAGCACATGCATACACCCCTCAATTGTGGCAACCAAAAATGTCTCCAGACATTCCCTATGTCCCCTCTGGTGCAAACTGGCCACAGTTGAGAACTACTGACATAGAATACATGATCCACCCCACTTCCTGGTTACTTCCTCTTTCTTACTTAAGATTATATAGCACCTCGCTTATTTAACCCCTACCACTGCTTAAAACATTTTTAATGACTTAATTTCCAAAACACCCTTTTAGTTCCATAACTTCTCACCTGCAGTGAGCCTAGTCTCCATCTCAGCCACCTACTCCCATCGTGAGACCCAGACCTGGTATTCAACAAATACTATAAACTTCTGAAGTCTTGATTTCAAGCATCTCCTACTTTCCACCTCTGTACAGTTTTACAGCTCTACACTCCAACCCCATTAAATCCTGTGACCCCACTAGTTTTTTTTTCATTGCAATCTCATTCTGCTTATGACTTCCCTTTTTACCAGGCTTGGATTCCACAATCACTCTTTTGCAAAAACTCAGTTCTTCATTCTTTTTATCTGCCAAAATTCCAACTATGATTTCATCAACTCAGCACCTACTTTGTGCTAGCATCTGACTGTGAGATAGGAAAACATACATGTTACAGCGCTCGCCTTAATTCTTTTTATGAAAACTTGGAAGTATTAGGCTGGATACAAGACCTGTGCTTGAATTGGAATTTAGAGAAGTCAGTATTCAAACCTTGGAATTTTCTAGTGACTGCCTACTTAAATACAACCTCCCATTTCCTCCTGTAAAATTACTGGAAGCTCTAAGTTGCTCAAACACTGGATACCCCTATATAGGGCTTGCAGTATATAAAGTAATTTTCTTAACTCTGTTAGCTCAAAAAACTGAACAATGCAACAAAGATGATTTATCTTATTCAGCCACCTATTGTTGATCTATAATACTAATAATTTCCTGTGATTCCTTGATTCTCCATTTCCAACCTAAGTCATCACAGATCTTCAAAATTCAGAAGGCTTTTTATACATTGTTCACAGAGAATATACTTTTGGGGATTCCACTTCAAAATTTAAATAAAGTTTGGTATTATTTCACATCCTGAAACAGTAAAAATACTCATGGAGAAAAATCAAATTTAAATACTTCACACTTCTACTTTCTGTGCACTGATATACTATATTATAAAAATTCAGTAGGCCTAATTAATGTATTCAGGTTTTGAAGAAAAACCTCAAGTGATTTAACACCTTTCTGAGAAGAATTGCCAAGGGACACCTGGGTGGCCCAGTCAATTAAGCCTCTGTCTGACTCTTGGTTTTGGCTCATGTCGTGATCTCAAGGTCATGAGATTGAGGCCTGAGTGGGACTCCGCGATCAAGGTGGAGTCTGCGTGAGGTTCTCTCTCCCCCTCCCTCTGCCCCTCCTGCTTTGCTCTCCCCATGTATGCTCTCTCTCTCTCAAATCTTAAAAAAAAAAAAAATTGCTGAATACATCCTTGAAAGTGCTGCTGAAATGTTTCATATATCTTTAGAATGGAGTTGAAGAAATTATCTGGAGCTCCACTCTCAAGTACTGTAGCCAGTAGCTGCATGTGGATATTGGAGTACTAGAAATGTGGTTAGTCTGAACTGAAATGTGCTAAAAGTATAAAATATACAATGTATTTTGAATACTTAGTATGAAAAAGAATACTAAATATATTGTCTTCATAGATAATAAGTATCCCAATTTTTATATTTTATATTCCCAATTTTATATTTATATTTTATATAATA